AATCCTTTTGAATGGATTGATTAAGTGGAACGCATAAAGTATAGTCCCTAACACTCTTTCGTTTGATGTTGGACATAAACAGGTACCCCTTCACCGACCTCGCTCTTAACTCTGCTGCTCCCATCTTTCCCAGTAAAGTGGACATCAATGGCGAGTTGGACAGGATCGCTGCAGATTCTTCCATTACAACCAGCTTGAGTTCTACTCCCGTATCAAGCTCATGTTTGCTTCCCTCAATGACGCACACGCCGTGTACAACCCCAGTTGCATCTTATCCTACCGCTTCAGCCAGCCCTGGCACATTGCGCTACCTACCCTGAAGCTGGCAAGCCTCCTGTCATCAAGATTGTTGGTGGTCTTCTCCAATCCTCGGCTCCTGAAAACGCTCTTTGGGAGGACATCAACCCTTCACAGTACGCCAACTACGTTTGTTCTTCAAGTCGATGGAGTGGACGCTGTGAAGGCTGTCCAGGATTATGCTGATAAATACGCCAACTTTGCTCGGTCTGCCGATACACGCTTTAACACTGTCCTTGCCTCAAACCGCTACTCTGACGGTGCTTGGGGTCTCGCTTCCGGACCTTTTTACCAAACGATGTTCCTCGAAGCCAACGCCGCCTCTAACCGCACTTATGTCCTCTCCCCTCCCAGCGGTGGATCCTCTGTCACCGTCACTGCTCCCTGGGTTGCTCGCCGCAGCAATGATGTAACCTTCGCCTCCGGCACCGACTACTATTCAAAGTACTGTCAAGTCAACGCAAACGCCTCACCTTCCACCCAAGGATCTGTCCAACGCTCAAAACCCAAACCATCGGATTTCTACAAGCCTGTCCCAGCGGAAGCCTACACAAGTGCCAACGCCATCGCAGCCTCCATCAAGCCCGACCCTGCAGGTATCGCTGCCTTTGCCCACGCTAAAGCCGTTGCTCAATTCGGACCCGTGGGACAAGCCTCAAGCGCGTCGTTTGATATTAATAGACCAGTGGTTTCCGATAAGTGGGGGGCGTTTTATCTGTTGGATGATGGAGAGACGGGGGTTTGGCATTTCGCGACCTTGAGCCCTGAAGGCGACTTTAATGCGATTGCTGGAGAGTGGTTGGGGACTATTGTTGCGGGTTTGAGGGCGCTTGAACAGCAGGGTGCTAAGAGGTTGATCATTGATGTGTCTGGAAATGGAGGAGGGTACGCTTGTATCTCCAACTCTCTTGTTGAGGTAAGCTTCATTTTCTGTTTATCTTTGCGTTTTGTTTTTGGTATTGCCGGCTTTTTGTTTTAAGTTATTCTTTTGCTAAACATCTCACTTCCTTTCTACAGTACCTCCTCACTGACACTCCTATTGTCATTGACCAACTCCGTCTCACCCCGGCGATGCGTTCCATGCTCAAAGCCGGTTTCTACGGCCCTAATGCAAACCAACTTAAACCTATCAACACCACCGACATTCTCTCACCCACGATTCGTAAGACTCGTGGAGGCATCGATGGCGAGTTTACGGGCTTCTTTACTTTCGGCTGTGAAGGTGAAACACCGCCGCAACCGCTCACGAAGCTTGCTAAAGGATGGAGTGGAGACAATATTGCGATTTTGAGTGATGGTGGTTGCGGAAGTGCTTGTGCGGTTATGGTTAGGTAAGTTAATCAATAGGGTTATCTTTACTTTGTGAATGTAAATTATACTAATGTGTTTTCGTTTATAGGTCCTTCCGTGATGCCCACAAAACCCGCGCATTCGTCTACGGCGGTTCCTCCTCTACCCCATTCACCCCCTCCTCCTTTGAAGGCGGTGTCATCAGCGAATACGAACGTCTTACAGCCGCCGCCCTCCAAGTGTCCACCAACCCCTCCTTGACCCCTGAAGATGTCTCAGCCCTCCCACCCGCCTTCACCGTCCCCATTACAGGAAACCTTCCCATCACGCAAGGCTTCTCGCCGCTCGGAAACTACGCGCTCGATTGGCCTGTCGAGTGGGTGCCGCAGCCTGCTGAGACTTGGGTTCGCGTTGCGGATCCGAATGACCGTGCGGAGTTGTGGAAAAATGTGGCGGAGGCGTTTAAGACGGGTGGAGGAAGCAGTGGGACTACGCCGAAGGCGACAGGGACTGCGACTGTTTCGCCGACTGCTGGGTCGAAGAGTGGGAGCGGAAAGGCTGTTGGAGGTGTTGGAATGGGGATTGTGGCGGTTGTTGTGGCGGCGTTGGTGATGTGATGTGATGTAATTCAAACTGTTTTATATCTTTTTGGTTTTGTAGCTCTCTTTTCTTTACTGCCGCTTCTTTTGTGTTTTGGTTGCTGTCAGTTCTGCCGCTTTTATACTTCTTTTGTGTCCCGTTTATGTCTTTTCCTGTATCGCGTTTACTCTTCTACCCTTTCTGATTCACTGTGTATCGATTCAGGCGTTTGGATGTGATTCCGTTTATTGATAGCAACTTCTTGTTGCTCTAACTTTTATCGTTTTCGGGTGGCGATTGAAGTTGATCCTTTGATCGAAAACAGCTTTCTCATTATAACGCTTAGAGCTCTTCTCGCAAGTTATTCTAAATCTTTGTTTTGCTACACTCTTCGTTTTTCGGTGTAGCAAAGTGCGCAGCTTTAATATCTATTCATATTAACATGGCCTCTAACGTCTCTCTTGTGTGTCGCTCAACTTCCTTATCGCAGTTGTCTCTCTAGCATGGCTGTTGTTTTTGGTTTTTTGTTGGGGTTGATGGTTCATGCTGCCGTCAAGTATCAAGGGTGAGGGTGATCAAGTACCAAGCGTGAGGTGATGTTCAGCATTGGTGTGTTGACCAAAAGAGGGTCTCTGATCCGCGAAAAACGGGTTTGACTCGGACAACCCGAAAACAAAAAAAAATGTCCACTCAAAAAAAACAACAGCCCCTGGTCCAAAAAGACTTCAACCTGCCCAACAATCTTTCATCAGCTTTCATCGCAGCATCGAACTCGCAAATGTCGGCTTCACCTCTCCGACAGTCACTGCTGCGACTCGCTCTAGCATTCATTCTCGCGGCATGGTCCATCATGGCTGCCCCCGTCACATTAATCGTCGTGGTGAGTAGTGTGCATTAAAGTCCCCTTGGTTCTGATGCATATTCGTTTAGCCCCCCGCGGAGATTATCCCTGGACAACCGGTGCTGGTAACATGGGCAGTCACCTTGACTTCAGAACCGCCTCCAATAGGTCCGTCCATTTTTCAAAGTCCTGGAGTCATCGAGTTCAGGCTAGTGGTGAGTTAAAACCGTTTCCGTTTGTCCCGTTTTGTTTTTGTTTTTAACCATTTAAAACAAAAAGACTGCACCTTCTGGATTTGAAGGAGAAGTGCTGGGCGGATACTCTATAGATGCGGGGATTGCATCATTTACTATTCCGATAACCGCTTCTGGAAGGATTAGCTTGGTAGCTTTTCAACCAGGACCTGTTCCTGTCGGTCAAGTCGTCATCGTCACCACTATTGGAGGCGCTTCTGTGTCGTCTTCGATAACCTCCAGTACTACCGCTTCTCCTCTTCCATCTCCACCAGCTCTATCATCCCCACCAACGCTCCCCTCGCCATCTCCCTTATCCTCTCCCGCGGTCCCCGTCGTTCCTAATTCCATTACGGATATCCCAACCACCATCATCACTACCACCACCTCCTCCTCATCGCTCAATACCCCTACCGCAACCACTCCATCGAACGACCCCCAATCCAACTCCTTCAATCCTCCCATCCGGGCCAATGATTCCTACTTTGCAAACGGCACCTTAAACGCCTCCACCATCTCTGTCATCATCGGCGCCTCTGTCGTTCTTATTCTGATTGCACTTGCTGCGACATGCCTCTACTGCGCACGGACGAAGAACGCGAAAAGGGATGCGGAGATTTTTGAGGCTATGGCAAAAGTCACGGCCAGCGAGAGGGAGAGGGAGAGTGCCGCGAGGGATAGAAGTTCGGCGGGGGTTGTGGCGGAGATGGCGAGGAATCCGACATATCCGAGACGGCCGAGTATGGGGAAGTGAGGATGCGGGTCGCAATAATGGAAAGAGATGCTTACTAGCATCATCACTACTTTCCCGGATTACATTTTTTCCTTATTCACCGTGGAAGCCGTTCATATTTTACAATATTCGGCTAGCTTCTTTCTTTTGATGCCGTTATTTCACCATTTTTATATAATTTTGTTTCTCTTTTCTTCTTCTCCCTGGCTCGTTGTTCCTGTTTGCCTCCCCTGCACCCATCGTATCTTTCCATACATGTATGTAACCCGCTGTTTTTTAGTCAGCTTCACTTTTCTTTCTATCCAAAATTCCAGATGAGGAATCTATCTGTTCGGTCTTTTCAATTCTGTGGTCACTGGGTACTGGTTCGCTTCTGACTTTGGTTTTTTGGGTGTTTCGATGATCCTTCCTGCGGTTGTTACCCAGTCCTGTCTTTTTCTTTACGGTGTTGCTGGATGAGGGTGTATATTTGGGTTTATTTAATATAGGAATGCCCATTAACAATAAATGAACAATGTGACCTTGTTCAAGTGATTTTTGAAGTTTTGACGATGTTCGTACGATATGAAAATGTTGATCAATGTTTGCCAAAACGCACCGTGACTTCTGAGAACTCAGATCTTTTTTACCTGGAAATTTAAGAGTATTACTTTAGGACTGTAATGTAGAAGCTCGTCGTAGTATGGCGTAATATCAACCATTGGCAGTTTGATTTGAATCGCATCTACTAACAATGCTACATCATTCAATGTGTGCTTTCACTCCCAAGAAAAAAACGAACACGGAGGAAGCGGGAGAAAAGAAATTCACAAACGATCGGCTATTCAAGCAAAACTCAACTCTCACTTCCTCAGTAAAGCGTGAAGATGATAGACTGAAAACAGGACCAGGTAAATATAGGGTGCGCATAACTGCTTCAAACAAGCCAATGATCTTTCAGGCACTTTTCAACCAATCAAAATCATCAATTTTGCCTATAAACTTTAAGTATATATTCTCTCTAAATTACCATGCAAATATCAACACTGGGGAATTAGCTCAAATGGTAGAGCGCTCGCTTAGCATGCGAGAAGGCACGGGGATCGATACCCCGATTCTCCACTCCTTTCTGCCTTTATAGCTCATTTGGTTAGAGCGTCTGCCTAGTAAGCAGGAGGTCACCAGTTCAACTCTGGTTAAAGGCACGGTAGAAATCACCTTCTATCGCATCTTCTTCAGTTTCTACCTCATGTTAGTATAAACCCATTTGATCCGCTCTGTTGGCTTAGTTGGTATAGCGTCGGTCTCATAATCCGAAGGCCGTGAGTTCGAGTCTCACACAGAGCATTATTTTAGTTTAAAGGTGTAGGCTCATCAACGAAAACCTCCTTGCATTTCCTTCACCACGACGGGGCCTACGTTTCTTTTTTAGCTTGTTGATTACTAGTTATATATATTATTGTCACTTCGTAGCTTCAATAATGTTTTTTTCTATTTATCAAGCCTGATAACTCGTTTATGTAGGACAGCCGGATTTTGGGGTGAAAACGGGTTTCTGGGCGAATCCACTTACACGCTCCTGGGTCCAGCACGGAACACGCAGGAGTCGCGCTCGTGAAGAACAGCCCAAGGAGGGAGGCACCGCTGGTGTCGAGAACGGGCCAAGGAGAGAGAAGGGGAGGAGAAAAGGAGAGCTGAAGAGGACAACGAGGAGAAAGAAACAAAAACAAGAACGGTGAAAAAACACAAGTAGAATGAAGAAGAGGTGGACGAGTGGTACGGCGTGCGTAAGAGGGAAGACCAGGACTAGGAAGAAGGGTGGTAATTAAGCAGCGAGATGACCCGCAAGGCCGGCCCGGAGAGCGAGGGGAAGGCGAACATATGTCTTGTAAGCGTCAGATCTCCACCAGCCGAGCACTTGGATTTCAAAGTCACTGCACCAAAGGGTGCCAGCCGCGGTGGCGCCGCCGATACGGAAAACTATGACCGACGTAGTGCTTGGGGACCTCGCCGACGCGTTCAAGAAGCTTGCGGACTTGGCTGACAAAGCGGGTCTTGGTGAGGGGGGTGAATGGCGGGGTGGCGAGGGGAAAAGCGGGGAGGAGGGGATCAGCGGGGTGATGGAGGAAAAGGCGGCGGAGGAGAGTGACAGCGCAGGGCCCATCCGCGGCGGCGAGGCCGATGGTGACAACCACGACCTTGCGGAAGGGATTGGTCTTGCTGCTGGGGAGGGTGAGTTCCACCCGAGTGGGGAAGCTGCAATCCAGCTGTTTGAAGCAGAAGGCTGCGACGGGAGCCTAAGGGTCCTCCTCATTGTCACTGTCCTTTAGTATAGGCCTGCGTTTTGGACCTTGGCTTGACTGTATTGAGAGCGCGTTCCACTGATGCGAGGTTGGTGGATTGAGGACATATGATCATCATGTCCAGGCGGAGTGGTCACCCGAGTTGTCGTTACAGAGGGGATAGTGAAGGTAGCTGGCGAAGGGTTGCGTAAGGCAGGTTGTGGTGGCCGGAGGTGAGGAGGACCGTTGTGGTTGCTGGGGCGTGGGAGAAGGGCTGTCGACGTTGGGGGTGTGAGTACCGTCAGCATCCAGCAGACGGTCAAGGTCGAGGTGGTCCTCAGAAGCCTCGCGTGCGATGATGGGTGAGGGAGGAAGAGTCATGGTGAGGACAGTGTGGTAAGTGAGCTTGTCCAAAGACTTGAGTGAGTGGGGACGAGGAACAGGACAACTGCAGGTAACACCGAGGATTCCCTTTGTCCTTTCCTCGTTATCCCCACTATTCGTTTTCACCCAAAAGTTCCCCCTTTTGTCTATTCTTTTTTAACCCCTTGCGTTTGCCGCCTAGGTCACCTTTCCCTCCAAACCTGTTTCCGGCATCGTCAGCGACACTGCCCCTTTATTCTGTCATTAGTAGTAGGCAATATAAGAAATTTTAGCCGTCCGTTTGGATGCAGATTACAGTAGACCCTTCCTTTGTCAGGATACGTGTTTTTAAAGCTTACTGTGTGTGATCAATGCCCATCTTTAAACACTCCTTCCTTCCTTTCATATCCTCAACCAACACGGCAAGAAATCACAGCTTATTGAACTGCCATGAGTTGGTAATGATCTCCCAGATGAGGGGGGCTTGTTTCTTGCCTGCCTTATGGTGATTGTACTCTGTGCCCAATTGTGGAGGACATACGCCAAGCCCAAATGGGGTCAAGTCTGTAAAATTTCCTTTGCGACTGATTACAGTCTCCAAACGGCAACTGTTTGAGACCATCTCCCAGCCAACTTCATCCGTCATCGTCGCGTCTATCAAACGACAGAATGATATTCAGGATTCTTGCTTCGTCTCTGGTAGCGATCCAGGTGCTGGTCTCCAACGCTGGTGCACAGTCAAGTGAGCGACCAGTGTATTGAAGACTGTGTCGATAAGAATACTCCACTTTGTTAATTCTTCCTCAGCTGATCCCTGCGCTTCTGTCGGCACAGCTACGTTGTCCACTCTCGCTGACGTCTACCGATGCTTCAATCAGATCCCTGCTTCATCTAGCTTCAAGACTGAACATGTCGATACCCTAAAGAGTTTCCTTGAGATGTAAGGAAACATCATCCTTTCCATGCTATTGACACCATTTCCATCAGCTATCCCTTCACTGACCTCAACATCGATACCACCGAACCCCTGTTCCCGAACAAAGTCGACATTGAAGCTGAGCTCGACAAACTTGCCGCAGACACCTCCATCACCACCCAGTTCGAATTTTACAGTCGTATTGCACTTCTCGTAAAGTCCCTTAAAGACGCCCATTTCTCCTACTCACCCAGCTGCATCACTACGTTTAACTTTGTTCAGCCGTGGCATATTGGTGCGGTTTACCCGAATGGTGGAGGGACGCCGCAGATCAAGATTATCAATACAGTGTTTTCCAGGACAGTGCCGCAGCAGTGGCAGGAGGCTTTGGGGGCGACGCCGTCAACTTTTGTGAACTACACTATTCAGTCGATTGATGATGTGGATGCTGTGGTATGTATCCGTAGTTGATTGGAAAGTCCCAAGGGTGCTAGACCCTATGCCGTTTTTTTCCAACACACTTTGCCACTTGCGATTGCACTCACACCAATTACCTTCTTCCTGCTCGTCAACAGCAATACGTAAAAGACTTTGCTACAAAGTTTTCTGGTTTTGCCCGTGACCCCGAATCCAACTTCAACCGCGTCCTCTACCGTCGTCTCTACACAGACGGCCAATGGGTCGGCCGCACCGGCCCCTTCTACGTTACAAACTTCCTAGGTCACGACGCCTCCCCCACCCGCAAATACGTCCTCGTTCCTCCCAACGGCGGCTCCTCTGTCACCTTTTCCGTCCCGTGGATTGGCGTTCCTGAAGTCGACAATTTTAGTTCGACCTCGCAATACCAAAGGCGTTACTGCACTGACGCAGAGTCTTCGGCTCTTGTAAGGCGTGACAACGAGGAGACTTCCGGCAAATCTCTCATTCTCGGTGAAGTCCCTATTCCTGATTCAGACCTCCACGTCCCTACCTACCGACCTACATACCGACCTCTCCCAGATCTTTCTACTGTTGCATCCATCTCGGCTTCCGTCATGCAAAGCTCCATTGCATCAATTAATATTCGTGGAGGTGTCTCAGCAGGTGCACCTAAGGTATCGTTGCAGAGCCCGATGGCCAAGGATAACAATACGGCGTTTTATATGCTTGATGATGGAATCACGGGTGTTTGGGTTTTTGCAACGGTATCTCCAGATGGAGAGTATGACGATGTTGTACCGCAATGGCTTGGTACTATTACGGGCGGATTGAGGGGTCTGGAGGCGAAGGGGGCGCGGAGGTTAATTATTGATGTTAGTGGGAACGGAGGAGGTTATTCATGCGTCGCTGATGCTCTTGCTGAGGTATGTTAATGCTTATAAATATTGTTTTATTTTCTGAACGGGAACCTTTATTTTAAAACGTTTTTAACAAACAGTACCTCATAAATCCACCCCAAATATTATCGACCAAGTCCGTTTAACTCCCACCATGCAAGCTCTTCTTGCCACTCAATTCTTTGGCCCTAACGACAACGGCGTCAAGCCCATCAATGCCACTAACATTCTCACAAATACGATCACTAAAACCCGTGGAGGCAGAGATGCAACGCTTTCCGGTTTCTTTACGTTTGATTGTACAGGAGCCTTTCCTTCGTCTTTGCCCAGATTGGATAGGGGTTGGTTACCTGCTGATGTGGTGGTTGTGAGCGATGGGGGTTGTGGAAGTGCTTGTGCGTGTATGGTTCGGTGAGTACTTCTATCTTTTTCGAACACAAATTTTGATCACTGACTCTAATTTTGCTTTAGTTCCCTCCGTGACGCCCATAAAATTAAATCCTATGTTTACGGCGGCTCCTCTGGAAAACCCTACACCCCAACTTCATTCGAAGGCGGTATTGTCCTCCCCTACAGCTCCATCGCAACCTACCCCAACAACGTCCGCACCCTCGTTACTCCCTCCAACTCGACCTCCTCCCAAAAAACTTTACTACCCCAATTCGTGGACAAATCCCCGTCACGCAGGGATACTCAAGGCTGGGCAGATTGGCGTTAGAGTACCCGGCGGAATGGATCCCGTATCCTGCTGATGAGTGGTTGGGTATTGCGAATCCGAGTGACAGGATATCGGTGTGGAATGCTGTTGCGGCGAAAATGGCGGATCCAGCGACGGCTCCTGTCACGACTGGGACTGGGAAGAGTGGGGCGGGAAGGACTTCATGGGAGGAATTTTGGGGGCTTCCTTTGCGGTTATGGGATGATGGTTTTCGCTTGATGTCGTTTCCATCATTCTGCTTTGTGACTGTTCGTTTTTGGGTGGTTCTGTCCTCACGTTTTATGCCTTTAACGGCATCTGGCTTGCATTGTTCAGACAATTTGTCAATGTACCCCCCTCCGTTATTCCTTTCTGACCGTCTATTGGTTTTTTGGTTATTTTTAGCGTGCCTATTATTCGCATTCTGTTGGATTTATTGCATTTTTATTTCTTGTTATAATGCATTTCATTATAGACCTTTTCCCGATAGTTTACCCTTTTATTTTTTTAAAAAAGCTACCCGTTCAAAGCATTTACGGGATGGAAAC